CGGGCGGCTGGTAGGGGCCGGGCCGGGCCGCGCCGCTGGGTCTCTGCACCTGCGATCCGGTCCCACCCTCGCGGTTAGCCCTCTCGGGACTCCGCGGCCCCCGGCGGCTGCCCACCCCTGCCCTCCCGCGGCGCGGCAGCTGAGGCCAAGCGAGGTGGGGTGGAACACGCGGACCTCCAACCTAGGCCCTCGGCCTAGCGGGCCTCGGTGTCCCCACTTCCTGCCACTCCCTACGGGCACGAGCGGTCCGGGACGGCCCGGTCACCTCCACGAGCTCTGAGTCCGGGGGCCCGACTGTCCCCCTGCGGCTGCCGCTCGCGCATTCCGAGGCAGGACAATGGGGGGCATCGCGCGTTTGCGTACCAAGTCAGCCTGGCCCGCAAGAAGGGGGTGCCCGGAGGCCAGAGGCCGCGGGGCCACCGACTGGGCAACCCCTCGAGGGGATCACAGGCGAGCGCCCTTCCCAGGCGGACCCCGGGGCCCGGCCCCCGCAAGCCTCCCCCTCGCGCGGCGCTCGGTTCTTTGGCGTCGAAAACAAAGACTAATCCGATACCCCCCGCCCTGCCTCCCAGAGGAGGGGGAACGGGACTGTCGGGGTGAGGGGGAGGTACCCCCGGAGGACCGTGTTCTGAGGGGGCCTCAGACAACCTTTGTGGGACTCAATGGTGCGCCCAAGCCCTAAAACCGGGTGTAGACACTTTGAAAAGTCGCCCTGGGCTATATTCCAGACAGAGGTGAAGGGGCAAGGAGCAAGCTGTATTTCCAAGTTACCAAACTGCCTATTTTCTGCTGCTTTTCCCCCTTCACCTGTTGTGCAGGCCAAGTTGAAATTCCAGGTTAGATTAATTGAGCTCCACCCATCTGGCTTGACTGCCAGGCTGGTGCCCGAAGAAGCTGCCTTCCATCTACCTGGGTTGCTGTGGAGAAGGGTGGGTCTCTGACACACACGGGCAAGTCCTGGCAGTAACTGCTTTGGGTGGACTAGCCTGACCAGTTTGGGCGGTGCTCACCGAGCCAGGTACCTGGCTGGCATCCCGGTCCCGGCTGATGCTAACAACTCAGCCAGAACTGGAAAAAGAGCATTCGCCCCGGCTATTTAGAAAAAGAAGAAAGAAAGAAAAAAAAAAGTAACTGATCTTAAGTGTTGTCCAGAAAGCCCTAGGCAGTCCAGGTAGCACAGGTTGTGGGGAACTTCCCTCTTGCAGGCCTGATTTTGACAGCTGGGCTGTCAGCTGTCAGGGTGGGTGATGAATATGACTTCAATACCTACTTCCTACCTTGGCCTTGGGAAGGATTGTTTAGTGAAGTAAGTCTAGAACTATGTTGCACAGAAGTTGTGGACTTGTATTTTCAGTATAATGATTCTTAGTGTCTTAAGTAATGTTTATTAAAGGAAACATGGACAGCACAGGTAATTTGAAGGGAAAAATCACCCCAATACAACTATGTTTAATGATTTACTACATTGCCTGCTAGCCTTTCCAATCCATAGGTGTTTACTTTTTAATTTTTTTCTTTCTAACTTGATTTAATCACTGATTATGCAATTCACCTTACCGTGACACCATAAAAAAATCAGGTTCCTATTTGGTAATAATTCTGAAAAGGTAGTGTGACAATGTGAAGACGGCTTTGTCCCCAGCTAACAGTGTGACCTTGAACAAGGTGCTCACCATCTCAGAGACAATCCAAAAAAAGCATTTAACATAAGGCTCAATAAATAACTTCTTCTTTGAATCATAAAATAACCTTGTGAGGTAGATATCATCATCAAACCCATTTTAGAGATAAGGAAACAGGTAACTTTTCCAGGGTCACTCAGCCAGTAGGTCATGGACTCAGAATTTGATACCAGCACCTTTCCTCCTGCATTCTGCCTTGGTAAATGCAGAATTCATCAGATCATGAGGGACAGTAGGAGAACAGCAGCAAGCCAAGAGAACCACCCAAATTTAAGAGGGAACCAGGCCTGCCAGAGAACTGCCTGCCAAGCCTTCCTAATCACTTCTCCCTCGGGAACTTTATGCTTCTTGAGGAAAGCCCTCCCCTTCCTCCCACCCCACTTCCCTACTCACCAGATTCCAACAAATCCTGCAGGTTTGAGCATAAATGTCAATTCTTCAAAGAGTCCTCCAGTAACTCAGATCCCAAAGCCCTAGGAACCCTGCACGGAACATCTCCCCACAGAACAGGTATGGGCATTGTAACTATTTTCAAACTTCCCTCCTAGTTACAGAGAATTCCTGGAGGGTAAGAGGACCTGTCCCTTTACCTGTAACCCTAGACCTAGCAACTGATCACCATGTGTTGAGGGAAGAACCAGGTCAGTAATGCCTGATCAGTGAAATATTCCACTAACACCCAGGATCCATAGGCTTCCAAGTTTCTTTTCTATCTGGTGTCTTACCACAAATCCTTACCCTTTAAGGGATGCCCTCAAATAAAGTCCAAACTGCTTGGGTCCTGCTTTGAGGTCTTCAGCCCTCTGTGTAGCAGAGTTGTTCCTTACTAGTTCACTGCTCAAGGCAGGCAGGCAGGCAGGTAGGCAAGCAGTGGGGACAGCCCACAGCAGCAAAGTATGCCTCTCCTAGCAGCATTGGGGGAGTCTAGCATTTTCTGCTACAACTGCCCCAGGATCAACAGTAGCATTATCACCTGGGAACCAGTGAAAAACTCTACATGAGCCCCACCTTAACCTACTGAATCAGATAATCTCCTAGTGGGACCCAGCAATCAATTGTTTAACAAGCCCTTAAAAGAGGCACTAAGCTAGAGGAAACAGCAAGAAGCAAGTTCCAGCACCCAGCTGGAAGCTGGGGGCTAGCGTCAGAATAAGGACAGCTGAGTGGAACAGTAAAGAAAGTTTGTAACTTCATTGATATATTGTGCCAAGGAAAGTGACCAGCAGCATAACTGGATGTATGTATGTGCATGAGCTTTTGTAAGTGATCTCAGAGCCAACACTGCTGGGAGCTTACTGAGCCTGCAAATGGTTGAATGAAACAAACCTCATAGGTACTTGGCTCTAGCTCTTTTCATCAGCTAGTAAGTAATAGGTTCTTTATGAAGGATAACATATTTATATTAAGAAATGTAACTATATACCTGGACTTGGTTTTAAAGACTGAAGATTTTAGAGGTTTATTTACATTTGGATGTATTTTTAATTCTGAGTATATAGTCAGTTTATGCTTGCAGTGTTTCCATTTCATTATTGTTCTGTTTGAATAGTGGCTCAAACAGAAACTGTGAAAAGGTTACCTTTCTTTTATATTGCATAGTTATTATTATCATAATTTTTCAGATAAAGGTCCTAGGTATCAGAGAATTTATTTGTCCAAGATCATTCACTTATTGAGTGACAGAATCAAGCCTACAATCGAGGCCTCTGAAATTAGCCTACTAATTTCACTAGGGCTGAGATGGAGAAGACATTTTTTACTTTTGGGGAAAGGGAGGCTCATTGGCATGGGTGTGTTGGCATGTATAAAGTATCCAGACTTTTTTGGTAGTTTAAAAAATGCCTTTGTTCTTTATAACAAATTTTGTGATTGCATTTTGAATTTAGTTGAATAAAATAGACTATATTAGCTGGGTGCTGGTGAATAATGCCTGTAATCCTAGCTACTTCGGAAGGCTGAGATCTGAGGATCGTGGTTCAAAGCAAGCCCAGGCAAGAAAGTCCATGAGACTCTCATCTACAGAAAACCAGAAATAGTGGCGCTGTAGCTCAAGTGGTAGAGCACTTGCCTTGAGCTGAAGAGCTGAAAGACAGCGCCCAGACCCAGAGTTCAAGCCCCATGACCGACCAAAAAAAAAAAAAAAAAAGGCAAATAGCTCAGAAAACTAGA